TTCCCCTATGTTGCTCTCTAATAGGTCATTCAGTAATGACCAAAGATCATTTAAGAGGTGCGTGGCAACCTGGTGGGGTAAAACCTGTAGGCACAGGGTTGGTGGGCTGAGGAAAGCCCTTCCCCAGCCTGGCGTTCACCAGCTGCGAGCGAGGAGCTGTGCAAATGAGACCCCATCCTCCTCATCTCCGAGTAAATTAACTTGACCTTTCTCTCATGCAGTGCTCCGGCTTGCAATAAATCCGCACCCGGAGCTCCCGCTGGGGCTCTTGTCAGAGAGGGGAGAGCGCAGAGTGATTTGTTGAAAAGAAGAATCTAAAAAAAGCCCCGGAAAAAAAAGCTGGCAAATAAATTTTTGGCCCTTCCCTGTTAGTGAGGAAATTGCTCCTCGAGCTCTTCCTCTAATTATGGTTTGCAGGAGGTGCCTCAAGGACCCTCGTTTGCTGCAGCAAGAGGCTCTCGGAGAGCATGTGTGGGGAAGGAGAGGTTTAGAGAGTAGGGATTTGGGCTGAAGTGCCAGGTGGGGAGTGAGCTCCCTTCCCTTCCTCACATGCTGTGGCTTCAGGGCTGATCCTCCACAGATATTGGGATGGATGAAGCCAAGGGAACGACATCCATTGCTGGTCATAGGCACTCAGAGGGACTGAGGCTGTCAGGTCGATATCATGGTGTGTTTGGCTTATTTATCCCATGGGAGAAGTGGGAAAGGGCAGCATGGGAGCAGGGACCACCATGCTCACGCTTGCGCCGTGCCTCGTTTTCTCTCCACCAGGCTCCAAGGACCCCTGCGCCGAGGTGACCTGCAGCTTCGGCAGCACCTGCGTCCGCTCCGCCGACGGCCAAGCGGCCAAATGCGTCTGCCCCGCGTCCTGCGGCGCCGTGCCCGAGGCCACCGTGTGCGGCAGCGACGGCAAGGACTACCGCAGCGAGTGCGACCTCAACAAGCACGCCTGCGACAAGCAGGAGAACGTCTTCAAGAAGTTTGACGGCGCCTGTGGTGAGTCCCCTGCTTCAATACCCGGGGTTATTTGCTTTAAAAACAGATTTCCTTCTGCGCCGGGAGGAAATTCCCCTTGAAATGGTAAGGGTTGGGGAGAAAAAAATGAAAAATCTGTCTGCGTGCCTGCTGTTATTGGCTCACAAAAGCAATTTGGGCTGGAAAAGGTCAGTTTGCGGGTGCCTGCTTCCGAAAATCCAACCAAGCCAGCGCTTTCCCTGCAGCTGTGGGTGTTTCTGCTGGGGACCCACTGACCCAGAGAGCGGTTGTGACATCTGTGTCCCCTCCTGTCCCTCTCTGGCTGCGGTCCCCCGGCTGCTGCTTTTGGCAAGGAGCCGGCTGCGAGCCCGGGGCTCCCGGCTCCCTTTAATTAAAGGAGCCCGGCAGGCACGGATCCCAGAGCGCAAACGCTCCGAGTACGGCTCCCTCTTTGGCTAACGGTGGCTGTGGCTACTTGTAATTAAAAGCAGCTGCATTCATTAGGAAAAACCATGGGAGCAGCCAGGGCACGTGGCAGCCCAGTGTTTGTCCCTCGGGGAGTGCGTTTGGGCAGGCTGCAAACCTGGGAGAGCTTTAATTACGCTCTCGCCGCTCAGTCCCAAGTAGGGCGAGATGGGCGCAAGTGGGATGTGCGAAGGAGGTGACGGCGTGATGGGTGCTCCGGGTTTCTAGGGCGGAGAGGAGGCTTTGAGCATCGCCGCTCCTTTGAGTTCCTCCTGGTTGTAGCTGGGCATCGGCAGAAACTCGGGTTGAGCAACCAGGTTATAAAAGTACCAAAAATACTTGAAGGTGTTTGGACTCTGTTGCATGCGCTATAAGGCTTGAGGATGCAGGCAGAGCACATCTCAAATATCCTGAGATGTGTCTGTGCCTCATCCCCAACCCCTCTGATGTGGTTCCCATCTCCTCGCCTGCACCGCATCCCTGCCGTGCCACAGCATCCTTATTCACCTACAGCTCCTTGAGTCCATGCACGACGTTTTTGGGATGGTTTTGGTTGAAGTTTGCAGAGACCTCCAAGGAGGTAGCGCATCCCTGGCTGCTGGTGTGGCTGCAGGGCAGCAGCGAGCGCAGGCAGCTCTTGCCGGAGGGGGAATGGAGATGGGAGATCCCACGGGAGCTCCTTCGGCTGCTTCGTTTCCATGAGCACTGCACGTGCTAAAACGGACAGAGATTTCAGTTGTGACCCTGTCCTAGGCTGGGTTTGTCCAAGGGATGCGAGGGTGGCCGAAAGGGAGGTTCCCTCTCCTGCTCGAGAGAGGCTGGGGAAACGGGTTGCTGTGTTGTTCCCTCTCCTCGTCAGCTTGGGACTGGGATTTCAGAGTGGTTGGATTAAAGGGTGGAAACATTAAATCGTGTTTCTGCAGTTGCAGAAAACGAAGCGTTGCTCTCCAGGTACCGTGCTTGACAAGGAAGAGAAAAACCCAGGGCTAGAGGAGGGATTAGCGAACAGCAGGCATCTGCTTTGCCCGTGTCTTTGGTTTGAGCTCAGCTCATCAGAGAGGATGATACAGATAAGCCCAGATTAGAGCAGGTTGACAAGGCAGGGTGGCCCTGGCTGCCTCTGGGGCTCTTCCAGCGCTTTGGGAAGATGGGGAGAGCATGGGGCACCTCCCATGACCGTTGCTAGCTCTCTGTTCTGGCTCTGTGCGCAGACCCATGTAAGGGCATCCTCAACGACATGAACCGTGTTTGCCGGGTGAACCCCCGCACCCGAAGGGCAGACCTGCTCCCCCGCCCCGAAAACTGTCCCCTGAAGAGAGAGCCGGTGTGCGGTGACGACGGGGTGACATATGACAACGAGTGCGTGATGGGACGCTCGGGGGCCATCCGGGGCCTGGAGATCCAGAAGGTGCGCTCAGGGCAGTGCCAGCATCAGGGTGAGTACCTTTGCTTTTTGGGGACCGGGAGCATTCGGGTTCCTGACCTTCCCCACTGCCTCACGCCGTGCTCTTGGCACCCTGTCCCCGTGGTGTGAGCTGTGCTGTCCTCCCTCCTCCCAGACAAATGCAAGGACGAGTGCAAGTTCAACGCCGTCTGCCTGAACCGCCGCGGCACCGCGCGCTGCTCCTGCGACCGCATCGCCTGCGACGGCGCCTACCGGCCCCTCTGCGCCCGCGACAGCCGCACCTACAGCAACGACTGCGAGCGCCGCAAAGCCGAGTGCCTCCAGAAGGCTGCCATCCCAGTCAAGCACGCTGGACCCTGTGGTAAGCACTGGTGCCGCCAGGCTGGTTGCTCACAGGAATACTGGTACCCTCACACCTCCATTTCCCAGCCCAGCCTGCTCCGGTCCCTTCCGTGCAGGCAGCGATGCTGGCGTTGATGCTGGGAAGCCGCAGGTGAGTTGTGACTGGGTCAAGCCACAGTCTTGCAGCCGACAAGCCCTGAATATCTGTTCCTCCCTGGTTTTTTCTCCTTCCAGCAGTCCTCGTGTGTGTGTGCATGTGTTCCTCTTCGCTCTTGTCTCTGTCTGACGTCCTCAGTAACACGGGGGAGAATCCTTTGTGTTTAAACAGCACCCGTGTGTCCGTGATGTCCAACTGGTTTCTCTCATTCACTGCCATGGCCAAGCACACCCTCCTCACTGCACCATTCATTTCTCCTCCCAGGGTAGTGCCAGTCCTCAAACTCCTTCCATGCTTCCCCCTCCATGCCTGCCCGCTTCTCTCAGCTCCAGGTACTCACCCCCAGTGCGTCCGCTCTCCGGAGGCCTCGCCGTGTCTTTGTCTCATCTCTGGGAGAAGCTTTGACCTTTTCAATGGATGCTTTTTCCAGGCGTATGTGATAGGATGGGGCTTCAGGTCCCAGGGATGTTGGGAACATCCAATTTTAAAATTGTGCAGAAAACAAAGAAGGTTAAACACAGTCACTGGATTGATTTGTGTGAGTTGGGAGGACTGTTCATTTCCGCTCCAATTGGTTTTTACGAGATCTAGAAATGTCTCCTATTATTTTAAGCTGGCGTTTTAGGAGGTATCAGCTGTATCAAACCTCCTGAAGTACTTGGAAATCAGGCCCTGTGTTGTGGATCTGTTTTGTTGGCTTTGTGCTCCTGCAGTCGATTTTAATGCTGCCAGGCCCAGCTGCTTGAAAACTGTTTGTCAGGCTCCCAAAACCACACTCAGTATAATGACAACTGTTAATTTTAGTCATCCATTTCACTGGGTATCTGGTGGTCGAACCATTAGGAGTCAGTTCCCCAAGTCCTCCCTACTGGGAGGGCACCACAGGCACCTTCCAGTCTTCTGTCCCCCAGGCATGGGGACCTGGTGCTGGGTGGCAACCAGAAGCCTTGCTGGGAAGCCACACAGTAGGATATGGTCCTTGTGCATCTGCTGTTCCTCTCTCCATCTTTCTGTTATTTTAGCTTCCCCCAAGTTCTCTTCCTGCAGCCGAGGACAGCCGATGCACACATCAGTTTTCAGGAGCTGTATCCTTGCAGGGTATAGGAGCAAACAAAGCTCCTGATCTGGGGGAAGGAAATCAAAGCTGGGGCTCTGTCTGCCAAATCCTGGGATTTCAGAGTCCATGTGACAGCTCCAGGCAGCCCTCAGGCAAACCATCGTGAGGTGTGGGTGAGCTTTTGGCCTCCCCATCAGCTTAGGGGAGAGCATCTTCTCGCTGAGCTCAGTGCTCCTCCTCTGTGCCACCAGTTCAGGCCCAACACGAGATGGGAAATAGATACAGAAACAGGGACGGGGCGTTGATGTTGCATGAGCACTGCTGGTGGTGCAAACTTCTTCCCTGGCCAAGGATTCAGGACAAGGGTGCAGTCCCCCAGTGCAGACTGGGATGGGACTGGTGGGATACTGGGCAGTGGGTGAGACCAGGGGCTGCGGGAGCTGCACCCAGCACCCAGGGCAGGTGAGCTCACCCCTGGTTGTGCTGTGAGGGTGAAGGAGATGCACAGAGCTGAGGAAAGGAAGGAAATGCAAGTATGGGCACGGCGTTTTAACCTCTCACGTGTACCAGTCTAATGAACTAAAGTCTGCGCCTGTCTTTTCCAGCAGCGAGGCAAAGGAGGCAAAGCCAAACAAAACAGCCCAGGCCTTGTTCTCAGTCCTTCTCTACTTTGACACCGGGATGGTGCAGCTGAGAAAGAAGGGATGGGGTGAGAGCGATGTGGACAGGAGGTGGAGGGAAGGTGTCTGCACTTGCATCTGTCTGTTCCTCCCTGCCTCTCTCTGCTCTCCCCCTCTGCTCTCTTTCTCCCTCTGCTCTCTCTCTCTTTCCTTTTTTCGTCTGTGTCTTGTGTTTTACAGTGTTGCCTGTTTGGAGGAAGGAATTGTGTCCTCGCAGGACCCTTCTGCTCCCTACCCGGACATCTCTGCTAGGAGGTCGGCTTTCTCCCCTTCTCCAGAGCCGGGACAGTCCTGGCCTCTTCTCACTGCTCCCCACCTCTTATTGCTTGAGACCCCTGGGATGGAGAGATTGTCCTGGTTTTGCTCCCATCTCTCACCCCAAACACTTCCTGCTGGAATGGAAATGCCTTGCAGGGCAGCGGGGTCTTGTCCGATGCTTGCCGTGGCTTGACCCTTTGAGGCAAATGTGGGAGCAGAGGTGGGTGCTGTGAGCCCCCTACTCCTTAGCGAGCCCCTCTGCAGCTGCTCCATCAGTCTGGACTGCTCCTGGTTGATTTTACCTCTCCTTTTGCCCCTCACTAACCCCCTTTTCAATCCCACCTCCTCCTTCCCAGTGACTTCTGCTTGCCCGGGACTGCAGTGCTTGTCCTTGTCCCTTTTCTCTCCATGGTGTGTCCCCTGTGTCCCTGTGGAGCTGGTGCTGGAGCCCATTGGGTGTCACGGGCACAGGTCGATGGGGTGTGATGGGTTACTTTTCCATAGCCACCCACTGGTGAGGCCTGCAGGAGGGCTCAGTGTCCCCAGGTCCCAGGGCTTGGTAAGGTTTCTGCAAAGCTCAGCAGCAGGTAAGGGATTGGGGTGCAGAATGAGCATTTTGCTTGCTCTGTGCCTCAGTTTCCCTGCCTACAAGATGGAGAAGGGCCAGGAAGCCCTGGTCTTGATTATAGCACAGCCTGGTCTTGATTATAGCACAGCCTAAGGTACTTGCGTGGTAGGACCTCATTACATCCACCCACACCAAAATCGGTGCCAAAAACCTCGTTGACGGCTGCAGGTGCCCAAGGCTGAGTGTGAAATTGGACAGGTTGAGATTCAGGCTGTGAAGGGGCTTCGTGCCCTGCATCTCTGCCTGCTTAAAAAGGGCAAGATGTATCAGAGCAGGGTTCTCCATCAGGCCTGGCACCTCCCCGCACTCGCACTCACTGCTTCCTCACTCCCCAGGTGTGAATTTGGATTTCAAGTGAGTGAATGTATTTGCTTCGTGCCCAGCTCGTTGCATCCTTACAGCCTAATTGTGTCCAACAGTGATGCTGTCTCCATGCAAGCCTGTGTCCCTGTGTTTGGGGGACATGATTATGGTACAGATATTGTTTTAAGAAAAGGGAAAGACAAGCAGGAGATGTTGCTTACATCACGGGGACACAGTTAAAAGGCCGGGTTGAAGTAGCAGCCGTGTGCCTGAACTGTCCCCCTCTTCCCTGTTCCTTTGCAGCCCCTTGGCTCTAAGTTTTGACTTGGTAGGTGCTTCCCAAAGAGCCAGATCCAAAATTCAGGCTTGGCTGTGCCCGTGCTGGAGGCCGTTTCCTCACATGCAGCCACACTCCTGAAGGTCAGGCCTTGCTCTTGCTCTGTAGCCATGCCACCTTGGTCTTAGCAGGGGAGAAAAATGGAGCTGCAGGCTCCGCAGGGCTTTGTGTGTCCCATCGCACCCCAGCTCTGTGCCTGCCGCGCTGTTGGTGTTGGTGTGGCTGTGCTGTGTCTGCCTGTTGCATCCGTCTCGTCTTGGCCGCGTTGTCTGTTCCCCACATCCGTTGTGTCGTGTGTCCTTGTCAGTGTCCAGCACGGGTTAAATCTGTGTCCCTTCCTTGCCCCAGGTCCTCAGGGCGTTTGTCTTGGGTCACAAGAAGGGGTCGCCGGGCAGTGCTGGGTCTCTGCCATGGCCAGTCCTGCCCTTTAGCCAGGTCTCCCTGGGCATGGCCATCGTTAAGATGAGCCATCAAGGGGACAGTGTGATGCTGAGGATCTGAGGCCGCAGTGAAGGGAACCATCCCTGCGCCAGCTTTTTGGCTACCGAGGGCTCGTCAGCCGGTGCCAGGTACTGTGTGACGATGCGGTGGGTGTCCTGGAGGCACTGAGTCCCACGTTGAGGGGGGATTTCTGCTGCCTCCTGCCCTCCACTACGGAGCTGGGCATTCAGATCCAACTCCACAGCCTCAGATCCCACTTCTGGCCAGCCCCACGGAGCAGAATGTAGATGGAATGGAGGAGATGAGGCAGGAGTGTCCTGTTCGTGGCGTGCAGGGAGAAGATCTCATGCCTGCTTCCCATCCCTAACCTCTGCCAAGCATGGGGAGATGCTGAGCCGGGCATGTCGGGGCGGCATGGAGGGTGCAAGGGGCTGGTGCCAAGGCCAGGAGCTCTGTGCGTTTGCCACAGCTTGGCGGGGGGGAGGCTGGGGATGCTGGCATGTGTCACTGTGCCCCGGGGGAGCTGGGGACGCAGCGGCCCAACACCGGTGCCTTTCTCTCACCCTTGCAGACCTGGGTGCTCCCAGCCCGTGCCTGAGCGTGGAGTGCACCTTCGGGGCCACGTGTGTGGTGAAGAACCAGGAGGCCGTGTGCGAGTGCCAGCAGGTGTGCCAGGGCCGCTACGACCCCGTCTGCGGCTCCGACGGCCGCACCTACGGCAACCCCTGCGAGCTCGACTCCATGGCCTGCGTCCTCAAGAGGGAGATCAAAGTGAAACACAAGGGACCCTGCGGTAAGAGCCCGTCCCTGCGCTTTCCTCCTCCTCGGGCTCATAACCACAGCCTGGGTTTCCTTGCTTCTGCGTTGTATTTGTGCTTTGGTTGCCATGTAGTGTATGCGGCTCAGACCCATACACAGCATTTCCACCTGCAAAGCTTGCTCTGTGTTTGCACACAGGCACGGCCCGAGCTGGCTGGGGTCTCCCTGGGGCAAAATCTGCTGGGATATTCAGGTAGAGTTAGACTTATTGCAATTTTATTAAAATACAGTCATTCTGCCTGGCCTTCAGGCTGGGTATGAGGAGGTGGCACCTGGTGTATGTGGCGTGGCAGTGTCAAAGCTGGGCTTGATCCCTCGCAGATATTTCTCCACTGAACTATGTTGTGTAGTCCTGCTTGGGGAACAAACTCCTGGGCTCCTTGAGACATCAGAGAGAAGGAAGCCCCTGCCTCTAGAGAAGGGAGTAACCTGAGCATTTGAGGATGCACATCAGAAGAAAACACTGGTACAAACTCCAAGTATTTACAGGAGAAACAGAGAAGGATGCTAATACTTGGTGCAAATGCATATGCCATGAGAAGGAGCTGCCCGTGGCTGTGAGCTTGCAGCCGTAGATAGAAAGCTGCCGGCCAACCGTCTGTGCAGACAGGGCAGGGGGTTGGTGCATCTTCCCTCCCCCATGCAAAGGCAGCAGCTGCTGTGTGAAAGTGAAAAAAAAGAAGAAAAGCCATCTTTCAGCCAAATTCCTCCTGAACTGAATGGCGGGGAGGGAAGAGAGGGGGTTGTCTGAAGGAGAAAATGAAGGCGTGAATCAGTGAATCCCCAGGAGTCGAGAGATGCGCTGGCTGGAGCTCAGGCTGCCCTGCACCGAGTGATAGCTTCTTCACAAGTGAGTTATTACAGAGATAAATGTCTTTTCTGACCCCAGCCCATGCCTGGGGCTTTGCAGCAGCCCCACACTCTCTCCTGCCTTCTATTTAACTCTAATGGCACACAGCTCCAGTGACATTTCATCACCATTACTCCTGACCCTGATGGTTTTTACGACCTGTTGTTTTAACCTCCCGGTTTTGTTCTTTGCGCAGAGCGTTGCGGCAAGTGCCAGTTCGGGGCCATCTGCGAGGCGGAGACGGGAAGGTGCGTGTGCCCCACGGAGTGCGTGCCCTCCTCTCAGCCCGTGTGCGGCACGGATGGCAACACCTACGGCAGCGAGTGCGAGCTCCACGTCCGGGCCTGCACGCAGCAGACCAACATTTTGGTGGCTGCCCAAGGAGACTGCAGTGAGTCTGGCAAGGTCCCCTTCTTCCCTTGTCCCTGGGGGTGTTTTGGAGAGCGGATGCTCAGCCGCATTGGCCACCAGGGCCACGCTGAGCTGCCTGGCTGTGGCCATCCAAGGCAGCCCTGGGAGGCACCAGAGAAACTTGAGGGTCAGGATGTGTGGAAAGTGTCCCTACCACTGCTTCCAGTGCCTTTACTGGCTGTTTTTAGGACTTCCCTGGAGGATATCAGCTCCAGGGTAATAGATCTGGTGTGGGGCTCCACAAGAATTGGGCATCTTGAGTCTCTCAAGCAGCTTCTCCTCTTCAGCCCCAGCTGTTTTAGTTTCTCCAGCTGTGCATCATAGGTGGCATCTGCCCTCATCATTATTTGGAGCCAAGCAGAGAAATTGGACTAATGTCCATTGAGCCAAGCAGAGCAATTGGGCTAAAAACACGTTAATAGCTACCACCAGAACTGGAAGTGTCGAGGGTCTGCTTGATCACACAGCCCATCTCAGTAGCTTTCCCTTCCCTCTGTCCCCAAGGGTTAATTCCCCTTTGCTCATCTGTTTCCTCCCCACTCCCCAGCATGGGGAATGCCTGCGCTAATTTCTTAATGAATTAAAAGCCCTGCCTGAGTTCTTCATTAGGACAAATGCAATTTCAGTAAAAGCAATGCTTCGAGCCTCATCAAACCTGTCCAGCTGGGTCTGTGCTCCAAGGCTGAGCTGTGCACGGAGACCCCTGCTGAATTTGGGAAGAAAGGGAGGACTGAATGGGACAGATGACTGCCGGTGGACATGGCATTAGCAGTCCCCAACTCTGTGACACTGGGTACAAAGGTCCCTCCACTGTCTCACTGCGGTTCCTCGGTCTCTCCCCACAGAGTCCTGCGGCAGCACGGTCTGCTCCTTCGGCAGCC